GAAAGAAAGAAAGAAAGAAAGAAAGAAAGAAAGAAGGAAAGAAAGAAAGAAAGGGTGCAAAGCAAAGAGTGCTCAGCATTTGCTTCGCAGTGAGCATTGCAGAGACAGTGCGCACCCCCAGCAGAGAGAGGGGCCCCGCCACGCTCCTTCCGCGGGAACTGCACTCAGCATGTGAGCATCCAGCCACCAGAGCTGTGAACGGTGTCTGTGAGCATATCTGTGAGCAGATAGATGGCGGCTGGATTATCCCCATTTATTTTGTGCATCTGTTAGCAAGAGATGCCCTAAGATGTCAGAAAAGCCAAAGAGAGGTTATCTTTTAGGTCTGGGCATGCTCAACCTTTTTTCCCTGTAAATTAATGGCATATGCTTCTTCAGTTACACCATTTTGGCTTATGGAAGGTTTCCTAGGAATGCTCTACTTTTGGATAGCAGGGGGGAGCCTGTACCTGGTTCTCATCCATACAGAATTTTTGGCATTTTCCTTAACACACACACATACTCCCTCACACCTAAATGCAGAGTAAATAAGTCTCTGAAGGAACTTATTGCCTTAATGTGTTTCTGTAATTCATTTCAATAGAGCATATAGAACGCTTTTCCCCACACATAATAGGATTAATCTTTAAAAGCATCATCTTCTACAAGCAGGTGCAAACCTTTGTCTGCCCTCAGGGAAAGACCAGCCAATGAGAGATTATTCTGGTGATGTAATGCTTGTTAACTTACTCTCTTGCAGACATGATTGGGGAAGATGCTTTTCAGAGCATCAAACGTATTAAATTTAACTCTTTCTCACATGACTAATTTTAGCTCACAAGCCACTTCCGACGCTTCGTAAACATGTCATGTAGGACAGCCCTGATAGAGTTATGCAAAATCACTAGACTAGAGAATTTCTTTTGAGCATTGGCATCTGACCCACTGGCATTTGCCAATGATAATTCCCTACCTTTCTTGAGAAATCAATACTTCCGCATCCTGGTTCTTATGTAAATAAACGATACTAGCCAGAGGCAGATAAACTTACATTTCTTTCTCAGATATAGATTCTCCTGAAAATCAAATCAAAAGGGATAGAGACTTTATATGGGTTTTTTTTTTTCCGTCAAACTCATCACAGTTGACTTGTCGTGACTGTACAAACTTAATTCTCATATTCACCCACTTTGTTTCAAAGATTTAAAAAAAATACTTGAAACAGTGTTTGAATAGCCAGGTATGTTCATAGTGATATAATCTTCTGCTTAGTGAGTAATGTACGGGGCTCTGCTGATGCAACTGAATGCTTGTGAATGTCCAGAGAAGCCGTAGCTGGGGCTAGGGCAGCCACTATCCATCACATAGTGTATTTCTGTGAAGTGGTGGGCAAGGCAAGATAAATGTGTGTTACTTTCTAGCAGTAAAGTGTGCAAAAAAGCAGACCCAAGCTACAGATTTCAGGCAGCTCAACAGTGCAACAGCTCATCCATTCCCCATCCCTCTCCCTTCACCCCAAACCTCAGTTTTTTGAGCAAAAGAACACAAGAGTAAGCATTTTGTGAAAAATCCTAATTTGGAAGAGGAGTGTCATGTTACCTGAGCACACCAGTGGCTTATCTGATCTGACGCCGGGGAAGAAAGCAACTCAGACTGCTCAGCCAGCTGTGCGATTTGAGGTGCTGGATGTAATTCGGAGATGATGAGCTGTGAGTACTCAGAGTAAAAATGTAGGAAAGTTACTTTATTAGAACTTTCCTCCTTGTTTCTTTTTTCAGACTCTCCTCCAAACCCTTTGAGAAAACTGCATTAATTTTTGGCACATGAGCCTTTCTTGGGACTTTTCTACTTATTCAGGTCATGGTAATACGGTTACATTGGGATGGGGTGGGATTCTGGAACGGTAGAATGTTTCAAACGTGGCTGTAAATCTCGTCTCTACCATATAAGGGAGTGGTAAGTCACTCTAACTTCAGGGAGACACACTTTCTCCCTCTATTAAAATGAAATAATAATCCCATAGGAATTATTAAAATAATATTTATAAAGTTCTTGGTAAGTAGCAGGTATTCAACTGATAGTAGCTATGGTTATCACTATTTTTTACATATGCATAATTCCAAGCCACTTTACCTTTCAAAGTTGAAAACCACATTATATAAAATGACTATTTACCCAGAGCAAATTTGCTGACATGATGAATTTTATCTACCTTTTGATTGTGAAATGAACCATTCTGCTTTCCACTGAAGATTCAGTTTGTACTTGGTTCTTCATTTACCATATCATTCAGTCACCTTTTATTTTTACCCATTGATATTTCAAAGTCAGTACTTTACAAATACATGATTTTAAATATTATCAGAATAAAGAGTAGTATTACTCTTTATTAATGTATGGCCCCATACAAAGCATGGGGCCATTCACGAGTAATGTAGTACATTTCTTCTAGAGATTTGTTGATATTTTAAGGGCATGGCTTTTCCAATTCTATAGTAAAGGTCCTGGAAGGTAGCTTGAGGTTTTCAGTAAATTAGCTTGAACTAAATTGTTTGTATCCACTGACACATTCCTACAAATTGATTTTAGATTTTAAATTTCAAGGGCTAGGAATGCCTGGGTGGCTCAGTCGGCTAAGCGTCTGCCTTCAGCTCAGGTCATGATCCCAGGGTCCTGGGATCGAGTCCCCCATTGGGCTCCTTGCTCAGCGGGAAGCCTGCTTCTCCCTCTGCCTGGCGCTTCCCTGTTTGTGCACTCACTCTCTCTCTCTGCCAAATAAATAAAGAAAATCTTTTAAAAATAAAAATAAAAAAATAAATTTCAAGGGCTATTTAGTTCACTTTATCAGAATTTACTGAATGCCTGACCTGTACATGTAGAGACTCTAAGGTTAAACCCAATGGTGACAGCACCAGCTGTAAAGTCTAGGTTGCTACCATCCAGGTGCCAGTGCCTGGTTAAGGGGACAGACAACACAGTGTGTTCATTTCCATAACAGAGTTATGTAGAAAGTTACTGGAAACACACAGGTGGTGGGGCTTTTAATTCAACATTGGAGGGGTGAGTTTTTGAGAAAAATTATAGCCAGGTAACATTTTATTGACTTTTAAAGAATAATAAGGATATTCTTATTTGGATAAAATAAAAGAGTATTCCAGGTAGAAGGAATAGCTAGAGCAAAGGAGGAAAGGATTGCTAATTCATACCTATTTGTGGAATGGCTAGTGACGTAGCCTACTGTTTGACTTGGATGGAAGTGTGGCGAGGGAAAAGGAATGTTCATGTGTAGAGGGGCTTTTTGGAAAACTAATCCGTTACCTTCTGAATCATAAATATTCTTTATCTTGTCTTTGTTACGTGCCATGAGAAGATTGATAATACATACTAGCTGGATTTTTTTTCTTTTTTGTGATGTCTTTAAGCCTATTTGTACTTAAGCAAAAGAATACTCTTCCTTTGCTCCTCCTATGATTAAAAAATTCTAGTGTACTATTAAACTTCAAATAAGGTAAGTGTAAACTTTACAAACCCTATTTCGAGAAGGCAATATAAATTGTACAAAAAATAATACTTGCGATCTAGAAAACATCTGTTAGTTTTGCTTCCTATAGAAGCATACATGAGCAAACTTGTAAAAGGCCATACATCTAAATAACATGTGACTAATAATGTCAGAATATGCGTTAAAGAAGTATTGTCTATGCTAACTTTGTGAAAGAGTTATCTGGGAAAACTTCATTGTTCATATTCACATCGTGAAGCATAAGACCAGCAGGTCAAAGCATGGGGCCATTCATGTGTAATAATGTGGGTGTGAAAACATTCTTAAATAAAACTTGCTGAAAGTTCTCTGTCATTTTCTTTGAGTCTACTCACTGAATAAGAAGTCTGCATATCTTAGAAGAGAACTATGTGTATATGCTCAGTAATTCAAATATGTTTGGTGACTTGTATTAGACGTGCCCTGGAACGTATTGTCCACACATAAGTGACATTGTTGTTAGAACAGGAATTTATCAATTTAACAAATGGTGTGTGCTGAACTGTCTATAACCTGTTCCCCCTTTGTGACCAGTATCATGTATTTCAGAAGTAGTTAACTGGAATTACAGGTATTTGGGTCCCTCATGGGTTATAGATTGTCATCATGTAAAACCAACTGCATGGAGATTCAACCTACCTCTTAGGCTGATTAGATAACATACACAGGATTTTTTGCCTAAGTGTGTGAGTGTTTGTAGGCTACCTCATTCTAAAAATGCTTTGAGGTTCGTAGATTTATATGTGTAATGCAGAAAAATCCACTATATTCTCTTAAATTCATTAAACAAGGAGGCTGTTAGAACTCCTGGGGCTCTCACGCCATGGCAGCCTATGTAAGCAAACCAAAATCTAAGTCTATAAATGCCCCAAGGTTACAAAATCAAAACCTGAGGACAACCAGTCACATACAGCCAATTAGGCTTTAAGTGATAGCCGATCCACAATGACCTTGCTTTGTTTCCACCTCGCTCGCCAGCTCCTTGTTAGTGGAGCACTGCTGACCACTTCCAGTTCGCTGCTGTCCAATTCAGATTGATAAATGCCCAAATAAACTCTTAAAAACTTTTGGGGTGCCTGGCTGGCTCAGTCGGTAGAGCACGCGACTCTTCTTTTTTTTTTAAGATTTTATTTATTTATTTGAGAGAGAGAGAGAGATGAGAGAGGGGCAGAGGGAAAGGGAGAAGCAGGCTCCCTGCTGAGCAGGGAACCTGATGTGGGGCTCGATCCCAGGACCCTGGGATCTTGACCTAAGCCGAAGGCAGATGCTTAACCCAGTGAGCCACCCACGTGCCCTGAGCATGTGACGCTTGATCTCGGATTTATAAGTTTGAGCCCCACGTTGGGTGTAAAGATTACTTAAAAAGAAATCTTTAAAAAAATGTTTATATGCCTCAATTTATCTTTTGACTAGTTATTTAAAAATATGAAATTCTCAGAAAAATATAAAACTAAAGATGGCTTTCTGTTTTCTCCATCAGCTGTTAAGAAGAAGGCTAGCTTTATCACTCCGGTTCCTGGAGGTGTGGGACCCATGACGGTGGCAATGCTTCTGAAGAACACCCTTCTGGCAGCTAAAAAACTCATTCACTAGGTCACATGAAAGAATAAGGCAAAATGAAATCGTGCTATTTATTTATTTGACAAAGGGCAAACACCTTTATATTTTACTACAAAGCTATTTATTTCTACATTGTATTTATTTTTTCATGGATGGAATCATTGTGGATCAGATGATTCACACAATCTGACTCATTTCCTGCTAACAGATTTTGAGTTTTAGGGGAAAAAAACAAAACAAAACAAACAATTCCAATGAAAACTTTGGTAACAGTGGTTTATTTTGTGAATAATATTTGTTCATAATGTTAAACAATAAAGGGCTCATAATAAATGAATGTATTTTTGACACAAATATCACACACAGTATGTTTTCAGCAATCGTCTTGTCAGCCAATGGGCGCCCTTGTAAAATGCAATTTAGGTTTTGACATAAGCAGTCTCAATTTTTATATACTTTGTTTATCATAAGCTGAAAAAGAGCTTACTTGCTAAAAGAAAGATAAAATATTAAAAGTAAAATCTTGATTCATGTATCTCCCAAATGGACCCTATGAGGCATCTTAATGAGAAATGACACTCTATTCAAGGAAAGAAAAGTAAACAAAGAAGGCAAAGAAAATGCAGTGCTGCTTAGAAAGGTAATAATGATCATTTCAAATTGTGAACGACTACTTGCCATAGTAAAAATGTAATAAGAATATGTTGGGTTTACATGTAATTTCTGTCTTCTTCTAGAAAAATATTTGGATAATACCTTCCTTGAGGAATAATGGAAAATCCAAAACCAGTCATATAAAACAAAACTGTGGTTGTGTTTTCCCACAAATATTAGAAAAATATGGTATACTATGAGTGAGGATTTCATTAAAGAATGAATATTAGGTTTGTTCACAGATTCGGAAATTAATAGGAAAATATGACACAATGTGCCAAAGCTAAACCTTAGGCTATAACTAAAAATCTACTGCATTTTTGCCCACAGTTCTTCCCTCTTCTGTTATGGCAGTTGGTTCTCAGAGTAGATGTCATATTTTTAACACAATGTAAATTAGGAAATACACATGAATGTCAGTTGAAGGCTATTTTGAGACTACCCTAAGTACTTGATTGTATTGTTTTCATGCCCAATCCCAGTGTGTGTTTATGTACCAACAATGATTCTTACCCAGTGCATGTTTTTACCAGTGTGTGCTCCTGATCAATGTGTGAAAATAAACTACTTATAATTAATCATATTTTAACTGTATAATAAAAGCAATTTGAAGAATACCTGTCTTCTTTTTTCCTTAAGATATTTATAACTTTTTTGTTCATATATTTGTTACCTATTTCTTTTTTCTTTCTTTTTTTTTTTTTTTGTGGTTTGATTCAAGTTTTTATTTAAATTCCAGTTAGTTAACATACAGTGTAATATTAGTTTCAGGAGTAGAATTGTTGCCTATTTGTTTACAGCATACTGGGGAAATGTACTAGTTTCTTAAACATGCAGGAAAAGGTTCTATAGCCCATTCCAAATTCAGTACAGGCCAATCTTTGTCTGATAACCCCGACAGAAGTTTAAATTCAAAGCTCCCAAGCAAACATTTCAGAAAGGGCCTATTTTATTCTTAAGGGCCTCAAATTCCCCAAACAGACAAAATGACCCAAAATACATGTGCATGGAAAAGGTGAAGTCTGCAGTTTTGAGCCCACCAACCCCAACCCCTCAAAATACAGGAGGAATTATTCTGGGAAGGTTTCTGCCCTTTGGCTAGGCTAAAATTCAGGAGGGAATCTTTCTAGAGACTAAAATACTGGAAAAGAAAAATTGTTCGGACATTTGTTAAAAATGATAAGGAAGACTTTATCCAAGACTATTGCAATGGGATCAATACTATTGCAATAGAGAAGATTGAACTCAACTCCAAATACAGCAAAGACAGCTATGGATCAACATCCAATGAGCAGAGTAAGGGGATCAGTAGGTGGAAAATTACTGTAAGAGGAAATTGATTATATATCAAGGGTAGGGGAATTCTTTCTAAACTAGCTTACCAGGATTCTTGCTGAAGGCAGGCCAGATATCAAGGGTGGGGCATGGGAACTTGATCAGGTATGGGGGGGGTGGTCTCCATAAACTGACTCAGCAGCATTCTTTGCTAAGACTGGGCTCAGGGGGCCTAGTCAAGAAGAAGACTCAGAGGAGTCTGATTGAAGTCCAGTTGAGAAGGAAGCCTTTGTCAACACATAAAGGAGATAAAATTGGTTCGTGGGTACCATGACTTTATTTATGGATACTTGGGGTGAGTAAAAGATAGACATATGACAGCCATGCAGTGGGGCTTTGGAGAATTAACTTTCCTTCTCCTCAAGTATCTATAAAAAGGACCCTGAAGAATGAAGGGGGATTGAACAATAATACAAAGATATGGAAGTGAGAATGAGTTTGGCATGTATATATGAACCAAGAGTCAGACTAAAATGAAAGGTGTGTGTTGGAGAGTGGTGGAAATCCAGCTGAATAAGTATGCAGAGATAGATTTAGAGAGTGCCTGGATAATTCAGACCATGTTTGGTGAATTAGGACAATTGCAGTTAGAGCCTAGAAGATATTATCATTGATTAATATGAGAAAGTTATAAAGCGGAGCTGATTTTGGAGAAGAGATTATGTTCAGTTTAAGAGTGTCAGATGATGACATAATACATGGAGTCCTGATATAACATCAGTCTGGGAAGAGACTAGTGATGAAAATCTAGGACTCAGTACCATGTACTAACCACTAAATCCCTGACCTTGCTGACCATTCACACCCTGTGTCTCTCTACTCTTGCTCAATAGCAACAACTATCCTTAAGAGAGCACCTGGCGTGTGCTACATGCTTTATTTTTTTGTTGTTATGGACAGTCTCCATTTGATAGATGAGGAAATTGACCCTTGGGGTTATTAAAAAGCCTCAGCCAGGGCCAAATGGATAGTGGACGTGGAATTCAAAACAAGGTCTGGATTGCTGTGAGCCAGAGCTCACTCTCTTGTCATTACATCACACTGCCTCCCTCAGTGCCTTTCTCCACCTGGAGTCCTTTCTCTTATTACACATCTAAATCTTCCTTGTTATTCCAGGTTCACTTCAAATGAAACTCGTCCATGAAAACTGGCATGAGTCCCACCCCTGAACTCCCACAGCCATTTCTGCACACATTCATGGCACTTCTCAGTTCCTACCCGGTTCTGTATGTGCTTTCCTTAACTCCCTTCAGTACCCTGAAGTCAGAGTCCATGCATGATTTGTCTATTTGTCTTGCTACCACCACATCCAGCCCAGGGCCATGGATGTTGCAGGCGTTCAATACTGAATGAGTAAATGAATGAATGGCAACTGCATCCATGAGAATTACAGAATAAGTTTAGAGAGAGAGAAGGCCATGGACGGATGACCATTTCCCACCAATGTCTAGCAACAGATTTTTGTTGAGTTAGTGAGAGAGCAAGAAAGAAGGCAAAGAAAGAAAGGGAAGGGAGGGGAAAGGAAGACTTTCAGAGATGCTTATGACCAGAGAGACGAGTAAATTAAAGAGACAGAAAAAGTGGCAGAAGGGAAGAATGACAGTGGAGTGTTCTCAGCCTTCTTTCCCCTTTCTCTTTCTAACATGCTCCAGTGTGTCTCAAGAATGAGTGACGATATCAGTGAGACCACCTTACAATGCCCCTCCCCCCATTCTTCAGGATTGGGAAGGGACTTTTTGTGAGAGGATTGAGGAAGGGAACACAGGGGACTCTCTTAAAGAGAGTTTAAGTGGGATCCATTAGTATGAGTCCCAGAGGAAAGACGCATGCGGGCTGACTAGAGCTATTTTCTGGTGTTAAGTCTTTAGGAAAGTGGTAGGCGAGTTTCTGTGTTATGTGGCCTAATTCACCAGAGTGGGGAAACATCAGGAAAGAGCACAGGCCATTCTTCTCAACCCAAATGTGAGTGAAAGCCACAGCTGATTTAATATTTAGATTCTTAGGATAGAGGTAATGGATTTAAAGTTTGATTTTAGGAGATAAATCAGAGAATTCCTCCGAGATCAGTATACGGATTCCTCCTAGAGAACACAGCTGGGGAAGTAGAAAGGACATGTGACCTGGAATCCAAACACAGATTCGAGTCCTGACTGTAGGGCATATCCTTTGGTACGTCACTCTTTTGAGTCTCCATTCCTCAGTTGTCATAAAGGAAGAGAAATAAGGCCTCTTGTTTATTTCTTTATTCACTCAAGATGGATTCGTTAGGTATATACCATATGTTAGGCACTGGATTTGTTGGGGCCAGGATTACTGAAGAAATGACTGGGAGGTGCATGAAAGCCTTCTGCAAAATGCAAAGCACTCTGCAAACTCTAGTTAACAGTTAACAGCCAAGATGGCTGTTGTACTATGTCCCCGTCTTACAAATAAAGATATTTAACAGTAGTCCTAGTATGTCCCTCCAACAATTGCAATTGGTCATAATGGTTTATTTAATCCTTTGCAAATGTTTTTCTTCTTAAATTCACAGCAGTGGTGCAGAGGATGACTGTTTGATTTATAATTCAAATATTATTTTCCTGGGAAAAATATTATCCAGAAATTGTCTTAATAATGAACAGTTAAAAAAAAAAAAACCCACGAAAGTAGAAATACAAAATGTAGGCTTGTTTAAAGTGAGCCAAGTGCTGTATATTCTTTTAACTTTAAAATGATGACTCCTTTGGTGATTGCCCAAGTTATAATGAGTTCAACAAGCTCATTCTTGTGTGATTTCTGAAGCCAAATTCATATTTCAATAGTGAAAGAGATCCTTTCTGGTAAAACAAATTTGCTGAATGGACACGATGCAAATGATAACCTATCTTGACTTAAACAGGTTTTCAAGGTCCGGAAAATATGAGCAATTGAAATTCCTGATAGAAAGGCAGGACACCTCAGTAAAACATGTTTATATAGGTTCTTTATAATAATTTGGGGCAAGTGAAAATTTATGGGAACCTCCTACCGTCACAAAATCTAACAGCAATAATCACATCTTGCCCTTTAAAATGGCATTTTAATAATCATAACTAGATTAACAGTGAGAAAAATTTGAATGTCGTGTTAAAACTTTCTGTTCGTTAGACATACCAAACCTAAGTACTTTCATTTTGTCTTAGTGGAGATGGCATCATCATCCTCATCCTCATCATTCTGGTACTTTACTGGTTCTCCCTAGCCAAGTCGCTGGAGCACAGACCGAAGCATTGTAGCTCTAAGGAAATTGGCAGCCCATTCCATTTACTCGGAAAAATCTTAAATGGCAGAATGACATAAAGGCAAGTGTTATGCTATTAAAAATAATTATTTTTACAGAACTGGTAGTAGCAACACAAAGTAGCAGAAAAATAAAATGGATTATGAAACCTCTGCTGTTACCCAAATTTCATTTTCTCCCCTGCCGTTTAAATTACAAAATACCTTGATTCACGTGCAGTTCGTATGAGAGGTGGTGTAACTGAGAGGTGGTGTAACATAATCGTGTATGTAAAAGTACATACAGTTTCAGGGATGTTTGATTTATTGCCCGGTGATGCTGTTTCCTGGTTTGCAAATATCAGAACTCCCCTTTGCTGGAATCCTAGGAAGGTCACTAGCCACTTCGGTGCTGGTACAAGTCTGTTCGCAGCAGTGGGGCCTTCCCTGAATTTAGATTCTTTTTTGTTGTTTTAAGTACTTTTACATACACAATTATGCCCACAGGTAACAGGAAACCAGTGTTTCAAAAGAAAACTTGATCACTCTGCTAGATAACATTAGGTATCCTAAACAAGTGTGTGAGCGCCTCGAGGGCTCTACCTACATCTGCTGCCAGAAGTACATATTTTTTTGATTGGTAAGAACTGGCAGATGACGCTTCATGAAATATAAATGCAAGAAAGACTCCGGAGAGCTCAATAAAAACCTTCCACCTGTCAGTCTCGGAGGATAAGAAAGATACTGTTAACAGCAGCAGGAAATGGCTTTCGGAGTTTCAATATCAGTCTATCTCTTATTCAAAGGTAGGTAGTTCCTTTTTGTCTTGTTAATTTTGTATCCGGGTAAAATATGAATAGAATTTGTTTCCTCTGAATTAATGAGAAGTTGGCTTTCAACGCCCCGTTCTTCACGACAAAGGACAGAGCAAGGAATCTGTGAATTAATTGAGTTTCTTATGTAATGCAGGTTTGGCTCCTAACAGATGGTGATACCCCCTTTTTTGAGACCTGTCTGCTTGCTTGATGCAACTGAAGAGC